CATCCTCCTGCCTCAGCCTCCTGAGTGTTAATCTCTTTCTTACCTGGAGAGCAGTCCAGGCTCACTATAAAAGCAGACTCCAAAGTCAAGCGCTGGCCCTGTCCCCAGTGCACTCAGTGGCTGCCCCCACTTCAGCATTGTGCACAGAACTCAGCTCACCCTGCAGAACCCAGAACGTGTGGTGTTACTGCTAGCAGAGGGGCTGATCCCCCTCCTGATTCAGGTATGGGCATCTCGTTGGCTGTGTAGCTTCCTGTCACTGTGACAGGTACCTAAGATAATCAGCTTAGAAGGAGAACAAGTTTAATGTTAGCTCACTGCCTCCGAGGTCCAGTCAGGCAGTCATGGCTTTTAGGCCAGTGGAGCCGGGTGGCAGTGGGGGGAGAGTGTGGCAGAGCAGAATCACTGCCCCACTGGAGGAAGCAGGCACCCACCACACCCCCAGGCCAAGTGCCAGGTGCCAGGTGACCGAAGGCCCAGAGGGGTGGTGAAGTGCTGCTCACACAGCTGGACATCCTGGGGCAGCACCTGTGTCATGATTGTCTCCAGAGTGCAGTCCCAGAGCCTCCAGCGTGAGGCAGCACCAGCACCAGCACCTGGCAGTGATGTTAGTTAGGATGCTTAGTCTTTGTCACAGCACTGGTCGATCATTGATTCAAATGTGCCTTCACCGTGTCCCAGGCGGCCTTAGGGAGGGCTCTGCCCAGGGGCCTCGGTCCTCAAGGGGGAAGGAACAGTTAGCAAGATCAGCTGATACAAGACAGAATGCACTACAGGTATTTTGGGAAAAGAAAAGCAAAAGAGAGGCCCCCTGAAAAGATGCCATTTGCTGAAGGGTCTGTTGGAGCTAAGGGGTCCCTCAGGGTACCAGGGAGAGGGAACGGCAAGTGCAAAGACCCTGAGCCAGGAATTTGCCTGGTGTCTCTGAGGAGCAGCAGATTAGAGAGGAGAGGAGTCACGGGGTGACCGGGTAGGGGATGATCACGCAAGGGCATGTGGCCACAGTGATGGCTTTGGCTGCTATACCTGATGAGTTGAAAGGATTTTGGAGGGAATGCAGACCACAGTAGTTTGGTTCCCCCCACAAAGTCCAGGGTCCTTGACCCATAGGCTGACTTCCTCCTGGGGACTTGGGTTCTTTCCATCCTGTAGCTCCAACCCTCCTTCCAGATCCTGGTTGGCTGGTATGGATAGAGAAGTAGAACGCCCCCATCTGCTTCTGTTCTATTGGCTGGAACCAGCCATGGACCACACCTACCTGCTCTAAGGTATGCTGGGAGATGTAGTCTGTCCTGGTGCCAGGAGGAAGTGGTGGGTTTGAGCACAGCTTGTTTGTTGTTTGTTTGTTTGTTTGTTTGTTAGTTTGTTTTTGTTTTGGTACCGGGGATCGAACTCGGGACCTTTCGGTTGCAAGGCAGGTGGCGGAACCACTGAGCTAAATCCCCAGCCCCAGCACAGCTGGTTTGTGATGAGCAAGTCCTCAGGAGCCAGGGGACCAAGGAGAAGGGACTCCACGAGGATGATGGGACTGTGACCAGTATCTGCCGAGGGGGGAGGAGAAACAGTTGGACTGTGGGTGGATGAATTTTGGATGTATCCCCAATGATTTTTGCTGACAGATTGGGAGTGGGCGTGACAGAAACTAAAGTGGGGTAACCCCAGGACTTTGGCCCAAGGAGTGGACACAGAGCTGCCACCTGCTGAGACGGGGACACCTGTGAGCAGTGTGGGCTCTTTTGAAGGGGAGATTCAGTGGGGAGGAGCTGGTGTGGCTGAGCTGTGTCTGCGATGGCTGTAAGATCCCCAAGTTGACAGCAGGAAAGGATGCAAGATGAAAAAGTCCAGGGTCTAACAGGGAGGCCCTGACTATGTATGTGTGTGTAAATGTATGTATATATGTATATGTGTATGTACATACATATGTGTGTGTGTTATATATGTATGTATGTATTCAGGAATATATATGTATGTATGTATTCAGGAGCTGGGCTCAGTGCTACACACCTGTCATCCCAGCACTTGGGAGGCTGAGGCAGGAGGATCATGAGTTCAGGGCCAGTCATGGACTACCTGGCAAGACCCTGGCTCAAAACAGCCAAAAAGAAAAAATGGTTGGCATTTTGTATCAACAGGTTCCATATCTGTGGATTCCACATCTGTGGTTTCAACCAACCAGGGATCCAATATATCTGACAGGGGCTGGGGATTTAGCTCAGTGGTTCTGCTGCCTCGAAAGTGCAAGGTCCAAAGTTCAATCCCCAGTAGCCCCCAAAAAAATTCCATATAGGACTTCCAGGCCCTCCCTCTGTTTTTCTTTCAGAAATGGTCTATAGGGTCTGGGATTTAGCTCAGTGGTGCCACCTCCTCCCTCGCAAGCGCTAGGACCCGAGTTCGATCCCCGGTACCAAAAACAAACACAAAAAAGCAAACCTTTGTGTGTATGTGTGTATATATATATACACATACACACACACACACATACAACATATTAGGTGTTATAAGACATCTAGAAATGGTTCAAATTCTACATTAGACCTGGGCATGGTGGGGCACACCTGTCATCCCAGCACTCAGGAGGCTGAGGCAGGAGGACCCCCGAGAGTTCTAGGGCAGCCTGGGTTACATAGTGAGTTCAAGGCCAGCCTGACTGTATACCAATACCCTGTCTCAAACAAACAAAAACCAACCTCTCCATTAGGGTATGCATGGGTTACAAGGAGGCACTACACTGTTTTATACAAGGGATGTAAGCCTCCTTGCATTTTGGTATCCAGGAAGGGTTCCTTTCCCCTACGGAAACCCAGGGACAGCTGTTTCGCCATCACCTTCAGTTCTTTGCACAGAGCTTCCAAAACTCCTTGAATTTCCTGAGTTATGGCAGGGTTTCGTTTTCCAGGCACCCCCTTTAGGACACCTCTAAATCTGTGCTAATGAGGTGATTCAGGGTGAGGCCCCTAGGCACCTTCAGGGTGGGAGCTGATCCCCCAAGAGCCAAACACATCCTCAGGAGGGTGAGGCAGGGGATTGCAAGTTCAAGGCCAGCCTGGGCATCTTTGGGAGGCCCTGACCAAAACAAAAGGGTTGGGGATGTAGCTCAGTGCTTCCTGGGTTCAGTCTCTAGACAGACACACACACACACACACACACCCCAGACATATGATTAGGGCAGGAGCTCCCAGTCCCCCAGTGGCAAGGACTAGTCAGGGGCTGGAGACTGCAGTTCAGAGAGCCCCCGGGCTGGTGGGCATATTGAGGCTTCAGGAGGGTGGCACACTCAGGATGCACGGAAGCCCTACACCCCTCCCCTCCATGCACTGCACATCTGTTCCCTGTGGCTCCTGCCAAGTTGCACCCTTCACTGTAAAGGTGGGATGCTGGAGAGAGTGCTTTGCTGAGCTCTCTGAGTTATTCTAGCAAAATATGGAACCTGAGAAATGGGTCACGGAACCCCCAACTTCCAGCTGGCCGGCCAGACAGGGTAGTCTGGGGCCTGCAGGTGGCATTGGAAGCAGTGGGGCCTTTCGGCAATGCCATCTGCTGTCACCACTACCATCACTACTGTCCCCTTTCTTCTCTCCACAGTGGGCAATGGCCTGGTGGCCGGAAGCTCCGACTCGTCCAGCTCCAGCTCCGGCTCTGACTCCGAGGAGCCCCTGGAGAGCCACCCAGCCAAGGGCTCCTCAGTGGCGACTTCGGCGGTGGCAGCAGCAGCAACAGCAGCGACAGTGGTGGTGCCTCCCCCCAGCCCTGTGGGGAGCAGTGGGCTCATCACGCAGGAGGGTGTGCACATCCCTTTCGACGTCCGCCACATGGAGAGCCTGGCCGAGCAGGGGGCCCCGCTGTGCCCCAACCCTGCAGCCAGCAGCCCCGAGGCCCTGGAGGCGGTGGTGTGCGTGCCTGTGCCGGTGCAGGTGGGCGCGGGCCCTGGCGCCCTCTTTGAGAACGTGCCCCAGGAGGCACTGGGTGAGGTGGTGGCCAGCTGCCCCGTCCCAGGCATGGTGCCCGGCTCGCAGGTGATCATCATTGCAGGCCCTGGCTATGATGCCCTCACGGCTGAGGGCATCCACCTCAATGTGGCTGCGGGCAGCGGCACCCCCAGCAGTGGCCTGGGCGAAGAGGTGCCCTGTGCCATGATGGAGGGCGTGGCGGCCTACACCCAGACAGAGCCCGAGGGCAGCCAGCCCAGCGCCATGGACCCCACCTCTGTGGCCAGCATCGAGACCAAGAAAGGTCTGGGTGGCCCCGCTGTGGCCCCTGCAGGGGTTGGGTGGGACCTGAGGGGAAGGGAAAGAGTGGCCCCAACACAGGCTCCTGGACAGCCCTCATCCCCCATGGACATCTGCCCTGTGTCCACCCATAGAGAAGGAGGACCTGTACATGCTCAGAAAGGAGGAGGAGGAGCTGGCGGCCCCACAGCTGGCAGAGCTTGCGACGGTGCCTGAGAGCACAGATCCCGAGGCCGAGGTGGACGGCGAGGAGCTGGACGGCAGTGACATGTCCGCCATCATCTATGAGATACCCAAGGAGCCTGAGAAGTGGGTGCCAGGGGGACGAGGGTGGGGCGAGGCCAGGGGCGGCTGGGCTCGACATCCTGACACCACGCCCTTCCTCCCCAGGAGACGCCGGGGTAAGCGGTCTCGGGTGATGGATGCCGACGGCCTGCTCGAGATGTTCCACTGTCCCTACGAGGGCTGCAGCCAGGTCTACGTGGCCCTCAGCAGCTTCCAGGTGAGGCCGTGCTCTGGGCCAGGCTGCCTGCGCTGGTGCCCCAGCCTGGGGTTTGTCCCTGTGACCTCCGCCTAGCCGGTCACAAACCCACGTCCAGCCAAAGGACTTGCTGGACATCTTGTCCTGCAGGACAGGCGTGGCAGCAGGTACTGAGCGGTGAGTGTGTGCAGGACCATTGTGTGGGTTAAAGAGTAAGATCAAAGGAAAGGGGCCGGGGATTTAGCTCAGTGGTTTTGCCGCCTGCTGCGTAAGTGCAAGGACCCAAGTTCAATCCCTGGTACCAAAAAAAAAAAATCAAAGGAAAGAGCAAATGAATCGAGTGCCCCACAGGCAGCTTAGCACCAAGTCAGAGCCCTTGGTGGGGCTGGAATCGAGTCCCAGCCCTGCCACTGCCCACCTGTGAGACATTTGCCCAAGCACTGAGCCTCCGGAGCCTCAGTTTCCCCATCCACAACTGTAATGAGCAGGCCGTTCCCAGGGCTAACTGACACTGCAGCTCAGAGCGTAGCATTCGGCAAGTGCGTGGTCAGCGGCTCTCTGACCCTAGTGATGCCCCTGGGAGTCTGAGAGCTGGACAAGAGCACCCCACTTCACTGCTCTAGCCGAGGCTGGCCCATCCTGCCTCCCCGATACCCCATCTCTCCCCACCCTTGGGAGCCCCTCAGATGGGCCCCACACCCATTCCCACCCCTCTCGCCCTAGAACCACGTCAACCTCGTGCACCGGAAGGGGAAGACCAAAGTGTGCCCTCACCCTGGCTGTGGGAAGAAGTTCTATTTGTCTAACCATCTTCGGCGGCACATGATCATCCACTCAGGTCGGGCCCTGGGCTAGGTGGGGACACGAACGGGGCCCTGGGAAGCACTAGAGCAGGCAGGTCACAGCCTGCCACTGCCTGGCTTGGAGCCTTGTAAGCTCAGCCTCACAAGTCAGTGTCACTGCTAGAGATCACATGGACCTGGGCGAGAGGTGACTGTCCCCTGTCCGCGCCAGGAGCAGGTTTCGTATGGGACTTAGGGACAGGGCATGGACAGTGAACTGCCTTCTAATAAGAGTGCCTGCTGCTGTAGCCTTGTTTTGTGTCTTGGTGGTACTGGGGACTGAAATCAGGGAACCCTGAGCTACATCCTCAGCTCTTTATATTTTTTATTTTGAAACAGGTTCACCAAGATGCCCAAGCTGGCATCAGGCTTTTTTTTGTTTTTTGTTTTTTGTTTTTTTGGTACTGGGGATCGAATTCGGGTCCTTGCACTAATCAGGCTTTTTTTTTTTT